TCGCAGATGCTTCAGAGAATACATCTAGGGGATTAGTTTTTTTTTTTTCGTGCTAATTTGCCAGACAGGGCTGCATCGGTTGCAAACACGTTGCTGAATATAGACTGCACATGAATAAAATGGATGTTTTTTTTGTGATACACGGCCACGAGGAATTTAATTTTGTACACAATCTTTGATTGGCTGGAGGGGGGGGGGGTTGTGTGATGGGTACTATGATGAGAAAGAGTTCAAAGAGGACAAACTTGCGGTGAGGAGCAAGACATGTTTTTCCTCAAGGGTTCTGACTTTCCAACCTTAAGCACGCTACGCACGAGAGCTAGGGGTGCACTGAACCAATTCAAGCCCCATTGAAAACCGTGTAAAATCAACAAAGTTCAGGGCCAAATAACATGCAAGCCAACATCACTGGGGTTTCTGAAACAAAAATTAAATTATTGTCTCGTACTTCATCTTTTCATTTCTTTTCAATTTTGGGCAGACTAGCCGATTACATTTTTAAATATTCACACCAAAACAAAATCACCTCCCGAAAAGTGATAGTTCCCAAGCCTGGGTGTAGCCGTTTTACAAGTGGCATCCTTCCACTTTCTCAGGCAAATAGGACCCATTTTTCAACCGTAAGTTTATCAAACCTGCTCTCAGATGGAAGCCCAAAAACTAGGGAGTTGATCCTTGGCTACATTTACACAATTCCACCGTTTTTAAAGCCAAACGGTCTCCGTTTTCAAAAGTAACTGTGGGGTCACTTTTTATGCTAATCAGCTGACGTAGAAATTCTCACTTGAATTAGTTCACTGCACCCCTGGACGTGCTGAGCAAATAACCTCGAATGACTTTTTTGCTCAGCACGCAGCTTTCGTGTGCGGCGGGCTTAACGGCCAGCTAGGAACTTCCCTGTATCCTACAAACTCAAACTCTTTTCAGTTAACCCCAGGCAAATTAGTTGTACAGGGTGACCCCCCCCCCCCAAAAAAAAAAATACAACCTTAAAACATTTGCCTTATAAAAAGGGGTCGGCGGATTTTTATGTTTTGTGTATCAGATTAAAGCTGAGAGCATTTTCTTTCAAAACCTGAAAATATTATGAAAATAGCCCTTTGGGTTACTGAGAAAATTCTATGTAAAAAGTATGTAAAATAAAACATTTTTCATCCTGTACACCAACAATAACCACATTAGGGGTTTTCACTCCACCTATTAGTGCATGTCTCAATCCTTACAAACAACACGACACATAATATGACAAGATTACAAATGAATTTGATGGAAATACCTTTTATTTTCCACCTGAACAGGTAGCTCATCCATTTTAGTCCTATTTTAAACCTTTTCAGCATCATAAATATGTCAAAATATTAAAGAAATTGCACAAATGAAGGATAACTGCACAGTAGGCTTACAGTAAAATGTTTCACGGTTTGAAGTACTTGTGTTCAGGATGGAAAAAAGACTACTTTTACATAATTGGCATTTTCTCAGCAACCCAAAGTGTAGCCTTGGTCAATGCTCTCGTCGTTATTCGTCCCGTACGCGGTCAATCGTCGGCATATATACTCACGCGCTATGCACATGCATGTAAAAATACAGCGCGAACAGCGACCTCACGCGGCCACTATTTTTATGCAAATCAGTTGGAGACGATGTCGAGCCTTGGTTCAATCGTCGGCCAAAGCTTATGTTTTTCTTTACTTTGCGCTAGATTTCCAGCGCACGACCTCGTATGCGAATACAGATAATGTAGGTGGGGCTAATATGTGGAGTGTCCAATCACACCTTGGTAAATCCGGACGTCATCAAATTATTTGCAGCTATTCCGGCTTTTGCGGACGTGACAGGAACCACAGTTTTTGTGCATTGGTGCCGTGTGCAGAGACACACAATGTGTACGTGTATGGATTATGTACGGTGCCACGTTTCACTATGCAAGTTTCCACGCAACGATCGACCAATAAGAAAACGACATTTAAGGTCAGCTAAGGCTATTAACATAATGAGCACCACCCCCAAAACCTCACATGGACGATTGAACCAAGGCTCGACATCGTCTCCAACTGATTTGCATAAAAATAGTGGCCGCGTGAGGTCGCTGTTCGCGCTGTATTTTTACATGCGCGCATGTGCATAGCGCGTGAGGATATATATGCCGACGATTGACCGCGTACGGGACGAATAACGACGAGAGCATTGACCAAGGCTACCCAAAGTGCTATTTTCATGATTTTTTTCTCAGTATTTGAAAGAAAAAGCTCTCAGCGTCAATCTGATACCCAAAACGTAAAAATCCACCGATCACTTTTTTTAAGGCAAATGTTTTTTTAGGGTTGAATTTTTGTTGGGTCACCCTGTACAGTACCGTACAAAACTGGGGCAAGACTAGCTACAGCTCTAGGCTAGGCTGATTCTTAAGCTACAAGATCAAAGGTTTAAATAGAGGTGGGGAAAAAAACTTGACAAAAAGGAGGATAGTACATGTACTGGATTTAGTGCCTGAACAGGCAGTAAATCATTGGAAATCCAGAAAAAAACTATAATACACACCTAGTTGTAAATTAAACAAGGCACTTAAGCAAGCCTACTAAAACGGTCCTAGAGGACGCAAAATTATAATTAAATTTGATTCAATTAGGACTGTTCACTAAAGGTCTTGTCATGCATAGTCTACACAATGGGCCGAGTTTAACCCATTCATTGGCGATACGGGGTAATCCTATACAACAGCACTGCCCGGCTTACTGGTGACGGGGAGTGAGACAATCAGTGAGTCAGTCAGTCAGTCAGATAGGCACGAAGAGGACACTAGGTTGGTTCTCTGAGATCACCAAATTAATGTATTCATCTGTGTCAAAAACAACGCGCTATAAATTATGACAAATTTGATAAACTGCCAACCCACTCCATCTTTGACACAGCTGCCCGTATAAAACAAACTGTCAATATTTCCTTGCACAAAATGCTACGTTGCGTTACAACCTGACTATGCGCACTTATGGAATTAACCCAATCATTCGTAGCAGGTCGGCTCACAAATTCCCCGGTCCCATCTGGCGCTACCAACGGCAGGTTATTAATTCCATCAACTAATATTCGCCTTGTCAGATCAAATTTCGCTCTAAATGGAGCAAGACTGGTCCCACCTCTTTACACTTGCCACCAGTGCGCGGCGGACCCATCAATTATTTACTCCGAACATGAGACATCAAGTTGATCTTTTTTTTACTCCTGCCGCTTCTGCATCAAAGTGCTGTTTATTTTGCCGTGGGTGTGTGTATTTCATCAAACATGGTTGTTTCAACTTGACTCCGGAATAATTGGCATAGTAAACGGTGTGCATGTTTCTATATTGTCGCTGCTTCTGGGTCTTTGTAAACATGTAAACAGTTAATAATTGTATAGTAAAATCAAGCAGGAAAACCTGGCGATGCATAATGTAAAAAAGAAAAGAAAAAAAAGTCAAGCATGCTGTACATATACATGACATGAACTGGGTTCATATTATACAATAGAACAAATAGACCCCATAAGGAAGTTTTTAGAAATCAATCTACCCCATAAGGGAAACGCTATGGAGTTTGAAATTTCAAAAGGAACAAAGGAAAACAAAAGAAGGTAACAAAGATCATTCCCCGCAAGTGGGCTATTTATGTACGCTTTCAGAGATAACGGGAGGTTTTTGAGATGATGGTGGCAGCAAACACACCGGTCCTTCTCCATTACTTTGCGTCAAGCTTTAACATGTGTAGGTTCAAAATAACGTACTTTACCCGTACTTTAGGGGGAAAAAAATCAAAAGTTGTTTTCAAACTCATGAGGTAATCCTCTTCCTAAAAGGATGATGTCGCCTCAAACGTACCCGCAACGTTGCATATACGCACCAGTCCATGTATATTAGGGAAACAATCAGGAAGTGTATCTATTTGGGTGTGGATGCAGAATCTGGTGGAAACTTATGTTGATTTCCGTTCCAAATTTAGCCTTCCTTCATTTCCTGCTTAATTACGCAGCACTATACCACTATACTCATGAAACAGCCATTGCTTTTTCCCGCTCAAGCGCATCGACTGGAAAGTTCATCAGTAACAGACACCACAAATGCACTCGCTCGCCCTGTCTCAATTTCGGTGTCACTTTCGGCTTAAAATAGGAACCGAACTATCAGACACGGTTACTTAAAAAGCGACACTCAGAGCCGAAACGCCGAGCCCGGAAAGCAGCGAGCAGTAACGTCGGAGGTTTTTATATGGTAATAGAGACTTTCTTTTAGTGGACGTCTGTAACCCGAGAGCAACATTAGAACATGCATGGTTCTTCTAGTTTTAAAAAGGGAATAAATGTGTGCTTCGGGGAGGTTTTAAACACTCTGTTTAAGACCGGTTTGAGTCTGGATGCTGATAATTACCTGAGCCGAAGACGAGTAATTATCGGTCAAAATAATCACAACTTTTCGGATAAAAAAAGTCAGTTTCGGGGGAAAAACAACAAATTTAACATCATTTCCTTGCGATGGTTTAGGACCAAACCATCGCGCTCTCAATGAAAACTGGTGCCTTCGTCCAGAAAAATGAAGGTGCATGTTCAGTTTTCTCAAATATCTACTGATCTGACATTTCGACAGATTAGTTTTAATAACGTGCTGCAGATTTCTTGTACTGTTGTTCCTTATAGAGAAAAACATATTTGTTTTCCTTCAAATGGTGTCCATTATGCACTCTAAAAACAGATTTGGTTAACTTAACCAATCATTGGTTAAAATAACCAACAATTGGTTAACATGATTGTGTCCAACCAATCGACATATGTCGGTTATTTCAACCAATGATTAGTTATCTGTTTTTAGAGTGTACCTTTAAGAATCCTTAGCAAACCCGGTTTGCATATCCCCAAATCAATCCAAAGTGAAACGACCGACAAACAGCATCCGGCCATTACTCTCTTTTCCCAAAACGGAAGGAGTTCGAAACAGTCGTTGCTATTCCTTAGCCTTAAGCCTTTTACTGTACCTTGTGATCTCAGTAACGACTGCTGAGGATTCTGCCTCCCAGGATGTGTGATTTCCCCGTATCCTCTTTCTCCAGAAATATCCTCGGTTCTTGGGCCAGTGGATTAGGATGCCTCGGGGCAGTAACAAACATGATGCCGCAGTCTCTGTAAAGTTTTCACATTAACGAAGCGACATTTAAGACAATTTTAGTCGGTGCAAATTTAACAAATCCCCTAAAAAATGATATCAGATAGTGTCCACGAGCTGGCTTTATAAGAACAGATTTTGGACCTACTCAAAATGTGAAAGGTATACTATAAAAATATGGGACTCTCAATACTGTGTACTTTAATGCACGTCTACATTAAAGTTGGTGTATATGTGTTTTTATGATGTGGCACCTTGAAAAATAGTTTTTTCGAATTGAGTGGATAATTTTCTAGCATTACATTAGTTATGAGCTTTCCAGTGAGACATCGCACGAAAACAAAATCAGCCCACGACAAGTCCGTTGATTAATTAATTTTAACTTTTTTAATTAAGAGCGGGACGCTCCTAATTCGTTCTGCATTTTGGGCGCAATTTCTGAACTGGAGCGCACCATTTAAAACCACTTTTTTAAACTGTACAAAGGCCTGCAAAAATAAACAAGCAAATCATTTGTTGCCGGACAATATATTCCTTTAAATTTCGTTGTACAGTGTTAAATTAACGCTTACATGAAAGTGTCAAAAGCTCTAAGAATGTGACCAGTTCGATTCTCAAAACTCCGCATATACTGTGCAGTTGCAGTTCTAAAAGGGCCTGGTGGATCTCAGATAACGTAGACATGAAATCTAGATACGTTATCACTCGGGATGATCTGCTGTAAAAATGCAATTTGTTGCCAATGGTAACCACATGGATAAGAGTCATGAAAATACGTCAATGACGCAAGAATCTAGTCATTGTATACTCCAACTAGTCACAATATTTTTTTTTAATTTCGTACTTAGGTTTCGTAATCCTTACGTATGTACTCGAGTAGACTCTTGATATTTTTGATGGCATTTCCATGGATGATTAAATGGCATGTACAATGAAACGCCAGCAATTAGCATTGTTATACCTCTGTCTTGAATACTGTATTTTCATTGGCCTGGAACGATCACGTGTTAAGTTTATAAAAAGTCATGGCACACTTCCTGTGGGATATCACGTATTTTGACTTTGTAAGTACGGAGTGAAACGCTTGTATCGTTGGTACCCACGCTATTTTCACCATGTTTTCACACATGAGTGGGAGCAGCGAACTAGCAGACGATCAGCTGCTTCGAGCAAGCGACATGCATGTGAGCTGACGTTCGATTGTCATGATGATTGTTGTGTTTACTGCTGTTTCTTTTCGTGATTTTTACATCAAAATAATCCAAGACAGAGGTACAAAACAAAACAATTGTTGACTGCTGTGATGTGGGATATGACGTTTTGAACACCCGGGGGGGGGGGGGGGCGCATATAGCACCCTCGGCGAAGAAAGTGACCGAATTTGAAAAATACTTTTAAAATATCTGGCTTGCTTCATTTAATAAACACATATAGGGATAAATTACATCTTATTCACTTGTAACTGTGAAAATTTCACGTAATTTATGTCTATTCAATGAAAAGATAACAAAACTCGGCTGTCCACCACTGATATTTACCGTTCTACGAATTGATGAATACCCTTTGAGTACAATGAAACATGGACGTTTTCCCACCCCGATGAATGAAAGAGAACTTGCAAAGGAAAAAATGCAAAAATCACCATCAAACTTTCAAAAATCACCATCAAATGATTTCATTTATTAAAATATCATTTGTATTTGAATGCTTGTGTGTAATCTGTAATTCTCACAGAGTTCAATAGCTTCCAATGGCATTCCATGGATGGACAGCTATAAAAATGGGGTCTTTTAGTAAAACATGCATAACTTCTGATGGCATAGATCAATTTCAGTATTCTTTTTTTCAGTGAGTGGACGAACATGCTCTTTTAAGACATACTTCATTGGTGTATCAAATTTGATTACTTTAAGCAAAAACGAAAACAATATACATAGGGATGTACGTGAATTGTTTTCGTTTTGCTGAAAGAACATTTACTTTTTTGTGATCCGTGGACAGAACTTTAGGTTTGTGTTTAAAATTCCGTAACCTGAAAAGAAGTACATGAGTGATTTGAACGATTCTTGCACTTAACGAAAGCTTATTAATTGGGCTTTCATATCCTCATGAGAAAAAATGGTACTGACATTTGGGTATCTTTTATTTTTTACTTACCCTGTATAAGTATACAACATGATACATCTCAATTTTCAATTTTATATTGACGCTTGTACATATAACTGCTACATTTATAACTGACACAGTTATAAAAACACATACCAAATTTCAAGTTGAAACAGATCATACACGCATTTCATTTGTCTTTCATAGCTAGCTCTTGTTTTGAGAGGGTGTACTGTAAATTATTCTAAAATTGGACATTGGACTCGTGTTTTAATCTTCAAATTACCCGGAGAAATTATAAGATGAAAATATTGTCAAAAGACATCTACATTCGCTCCGATTTCCCGTTTCCTATACATCGTAGACCAGACGCTCCTTTGCCGTCCAATTTAACAGATGACATTTATTCCTCTTTCAGGGCTTGAGGGTTACTGCTGCAAATTTTAATAATCCGTGCGGCTGATGGGGTTATTGAATATCAAGACGAATTTAAATGATACTTAAGGAAATGATTGATACTTCTCATGGGCTGCAGCATTAATGGGTGGACCATGATGGTCATATAAGTTCTTGTACCGCTGTGGATAACTGAGTAGCATAAAAATGGGAGCTAACGCTGATGATCTCCTCCATCAATTCGACGATATTTCTGCTTTATGGACAAGATTGAGTTGAAAATAACTCCAATTTGTTACGTTACTACGATTTTTAAGTTTATACCCCTTGGGCTTTACAAAAGATGACTGCAGATTATCGTATTAAAATTCTCAATGTTTGTCGCCGCTGTTTCACAATCAGGTGTTCTACCTCTGCCTGTGTATACTACGGTAAATCTTTCGACTACGTTTCCCACAAATGCCATTGCCTTAATAAAATGCCAATTTAACAGACCAACGGGAAAATGTACAGAGCCATACATGCATGGTCAATAATTATAATTTTTATGTGGTTCCATTAGATTTCTTTGGGGGCTACTTTAAATATACATGTAGTTCATCTCTTGAGATTTCATTTTTAATTCAAGTCACTCTTAATTCCAAAACCAATCTTCCCAGATATTTACACTTCACAACAAAGCTTGGAAGTGAAGTGAAGCTTTGAATTGAATTTGAATTCATAGTGTTACACTGTAAAACAAAATTGGGCAAAATGGGTTGATAATTCGACCAGTGCAGGTCGAATTATCAACTGCCTACACTCTTGGGCAAATTCTTCCCAATAGTTTGACAGTTTTTACCCAATTCAACCCAATATGAGGCAATTTCATACCAATGTCGGGTAAATTACATTGCCCAACAGTATTTTACCCAACGTTTTTACAGTGTACATGATATTGATAGGCTAATCTCTTCGCCTAATGGTTGATAGTGGCTATTACTGTCTTATTTTCTATCTTTTGCATTCTATAACTGCATGTCTGCAAGTCCCCCATTTTACATTACTCCCCACATTTTCAACCCAGACACAAATACGCCCTACCCAATCTAAATGATCGGGTAAAACAGCTTTTTATTCAATAACTGAATTTAGTGGTCTTTCTTTTCAAGCCAATTTTGTGTTCAAATATAAATACTTCAGAATGCAGAACATTACTGTCACAATTATCATCACCGGCTACCCTTGAGACTATATACAGACGCAAGAAAGTATTGATTTCAGGATTAATGTATCTCCCGTCAGCGCTAATTTTGACCGAGAGAAGGAGCGTTCGCCTCGGAATGATTTACAGACGCCGATGGACAATCAATTATGCGTCCATTAAAGAGCTATGCACATGTTAATGACCTGCTAAATAGCTAATGGTTAAAATGCAGTCATTAATACACTCACAAAATGAAGGATGCAGTTCTAGACATTAAATTCTGAAGCTAAAATGGTATGGGAAGAAGAGTTTTCATAGAATTCAGATGTTGAGTTAAAGGATGGCCACTATTCAAATGCCATTATGAAATTCACAGCTGTTTTTTTATTAACAGTTCAAGGATATTGACCGCGTGTTTAAACACCTGTGCATCACGTGGTCAGAAACTGACAGATGTAATAAACTGAGAATATTTGAGATGCATTGATAAAACCAATACAGAATGTTCCCAGTCATCCGATAATTCAAATCTCTTGCACAACGCAAAGGGTCAGCGTTGCAGTTGAGTTCAATACAAGGCGATCACAAGTCCACTCACAAGGAAATCGCAAACAAATTCACAAGTTCAGTCGCACATCAAAGAAATGTCTTTTTTTGCACCGTATAAAATTTAAAAGCTTGGGACTTTTAATGCAACTGTAAGGTTTCAGTGGACTGATCCACTAAGCCCCGCCAACTGCACTGCGCACGCAGGCAACATCACCTGCACCTCTCCAATGCAACACTACGCTCTCCAGCCGCGCGCGTCATACGCACGTGAACGCATGTCGGACTTCTGTGCGCGCACACGCGTGTCGGGCATTACTCACGGCTGTGATTGGTCAAAACCATCTTGGGGCGGGGCTTGTTCTAGTTACAATGGACAGAGTACCGAAGTGGATACATCACGCGCACAATTATGTGTGTAAAAAGACAGTAGCGCGTGATTCAGCCTGTAAACCAACACGCGCGCGTACGTCATTATTACACTTCCCGGTTTAAAATGACGTCACATTTCGGTACTCCATAGTGGCTTCAGCTGAACACTGCAAACCCTTGGGTTTGGGTTGAAGAAAATGATATACATTGCAAACGATAACATCCCGTAGACTGTGTCTACGAGCAATTAAGAAATAAAAATCAACTCATTAAAAAATGGCAACCAAGCATATAATCCGTTTACTGAAACCACACCGCCACACATGAAGCGTTCATATAAACCTCTTTGGTAGCATGCTGAGATATTGGTACGGTCGAACACCTAATTACTAGCGTTCTGAAATTGGAATTTATTTAGGGTATGCTGAACTTTTCTAGTGCTGTAATCATTACTGACACACACACACACAAAACCATGCAGTGCCAAATGTATAGAGAGAAGATAAAAATTGTCTTCGCTTGAAATAAAATACAGAAACAAAGAAAACACTTTTACAAATTTCCCTCTTCATCATAGATGAGAAAAGAACATTTTCTAGCATTCAAAAACTCGACAGTTTTCTATTTTGCCTTATTATAAAACTGCATGTTTTACCATTTTTAATCATGTTATGAAACTATTTGAAGGAAAAAAAATACAGTATAAATATATACGTGATTGCCTAGACATGCGTGAATTTAGATGGGAAATTTGCTAATTTGGGACGTATTTTCTCTACAACTATGTTTTTCTAAATCAAATAGAATCACCGTTTGAGACGGTATGCATAAAGATTAAGAAGTTATATACTTGAAGATTTTGTATAAACAGCCTTCGTTCCAGTCAAGACGACGCTTGAATTTACAATCTTATTTTTATAATGGACTTTTCTTGACTGTATAATTTAAACGAAATTGGATCGGCGCTATTTGTAGGAGATGAAAATGAATTTTAAATGAATTCTTTTTAGGGTATATCTATGCAAATTTGGTATGTAAAGAAGATTAGAGAAAAGTAATTTTGAAACAGGTAGGGAGTGGATACGGACTTATAATACTGCCTAATGATCTCTAGATTTGCAAGGACAATGCATGCACATGTGTGTTTAAAAATTGTAACTTTGTACCCAAGAAATAATTTAACTATAGTACTTCAAACTATATTCCCCATCCTTGGCCTGTACTCGTAATGTAAAATTTATATAGCTAATGAATTAACTTTTGAAAGTTTGGACCAAATTATTTAAAAATGCAAAGATTATCATTGATACAAGTACAAATAAAGGAATAGAAAATACAGTACTTTAAGCAGTGTTGTAGTCGAGTACATTTCAGTTTCCGAGTACCGAGTACTGCCGAGTACTTAGGTTACCGAGCACGAGTACTTGTACTTCCGCGTACAAGTACAGGTCTCCGAGTACGAGTACTTGTGCTTCCGAGTACAAGTACGAGTACGAGTACTTCCGAGTACGAGTACTTCCGAGTACGAGTACTTGTATTCCGAGTACGGCCATACGGCAAATTGTTCATAATTGTGCGTAATTGGCCCAGGCCTAGTGCACAGAGGAAAATCAGGAAACTCCGATTACTCCGCACGCCAATCAACCATTTCAAACTGAAAGTATCGATAAAATAAGGTCTTGGTAAGTCAAGCTATACCATTTTTTTTTAGTACTGCTACGTACTCAAGTAGTACTCGAGTACGAGTACCGACTACGAGAACTACAACACTGACTTTAAGTTGTTACATTTCCTTTCCATTCCTTCAAAAATATCTTTTGAGATCGAAGAGAGTTTCAATGCCAATAGAGTTAAAAAGAAATGAGCTGTGCAGTGAGTCTGACTCATGAACGTTTACCTCTCACAGCTTGGACCAAGCAGTTATTACACTGTATTACAATTGGCATGCACTACGTGATGTAATTCCACATTCACATGCATGAGCTTTAACCATTGGCTAATTAATTAATTAAGGCTGCAGCGCGGTTAATTACACCCTATGTGGGCAAATTAATTCAAACCGAAATTGCTAGTTGAACTGTTGCTGAGAAATTTCTTTTCGCTTTTAATTTGGCAAGAAGGATTAAACACTGCAACTCACACAGTTGACATTTACTGCTTTTGGGTAAAGTAAAGATAAATTTGTTCGATTTTATAACACTTATATGAGTCAATAAGGATAGAGGCATTACTCCTGTAAAATAGACCAGTTTTTAGAGGCCACCCTGCTAAAACTTTGATTTTTTTTTTAAAGATTTTTGTCAGAATAATTATTCAAGCTAGACGATATCATCACAGGCTTATACGATATACATCCATAGCTTTTCGTTTGTCATGTTTTCTTAATTTAAGATGGTTATATATATATATATATGCGTGTACTTAAATGTGCATAAATTATACACCTTTTACCCTTAATACCCTATTCGAACGTGTCAAATTATTTTTAGGACCCTGTTTAATCCAAACAAATCCAACACCCATTGAATTGTGAAACCTGCTGGATCCAATAGGATCCAACAGCTAGACGAAAAGATCTTTTGATCACAGCTCAGACGAGTAAAATCCCACATAATGTTTGTGGTTGATGGATCGTGTTGGCGCTTCAGCAGGGTTGAGCTTAATTAAGTGACCAAAAAAAAACCTCGTGACAAACAAAGCGATTTGACACGGACTCAGTCCAAACCCAATTATCCACGCTAAGCTCTCCGATTCAATCTTGCTCCACTTTTTCTCCCAGGTGAACAGAAAACTGTCCGGCCAAGAATTTGCATCAATCGAGATCAATCCTCGGTGATTAGTCGTCCTGCGTTCTTCTGCCCTCGGGCCCTCCATAACATTTCAAATGAGTTCGCAACTTATATCTTACTTGAGATGAACTACAGCTTTTTTTTCTTCTTAACTTTACGTTTATCACAGAAGAAGCATCAGAGTTGTCAGGTGGATGGAACACCGCCGTGGGTGCGCTAGGCTGGAGATTACTGACAAAAGCTCAGAAAAATTCCCGATGTGGCGTGAATAACGACGAGTTTCTTTCCTTTTGAAAGTCATAGATTTGGTAATTGCCACCCACGGGAGTGGAGAGAGAAGTGGCCGCAGTCGACAGGTGCCATGGCCGATGGTTAGCCTCTTAATTACGAGGACGTGAATTCGGTTAATCCGGAATGGGGTTATCACTCAGTTGTATTTTTCAAATAGTTTTTTTTTTTAGTTCAAGATTACGGCAGGTTGTCGTCAGGTTGGCCAAGTGTGTAGAGCCCGGCGCACACGAGAGCTACGTGCTGAGCAAAAAGTCAATAAAGAGATTAACTAGCCAATGAAATCACGTACTCTATTTTATTTTATTTATTTCTAGTTATGAAACCAAGGATTCCTCAAAAGTGCCCTAGGCACTGTAGCTCGAAAGCCTGAAGAAACTTGTATGAGAAGATGTTTTGAGAAATTACAGTTTTAGAAATGGGAGGAAAAGCCCAGAGGAATATTCTGAGGAAACCCACGGAATCAGGCAGGGACTAAAAACCCAATCCACATATTGGCCCAGGTGGGATTCGAGCCCGGGTCACAGCGGTGGAAGGCGAGGAAAGTACCACTACACCAACCTGACTTTAATACACGTGATTTAAAGATATTTTTGAGCAAATCTTCTGAATCCTCCCGGGGTTTGTCCCCATGTTTTAAATCACGCCACTGACAAAACAAGAATATTGTGCATAAGATGGAAGAATGTGCTTTCATTGGCTAGTTAATCTTTTTAGCTCAGCACGTAGCTTAGATTGACCGCACACGGTGAGTTTTTCGCCTCGCGAGGCGAAAGAAATCAAACAGGGGAGGATATTTGCCTCACGGCCTCGCGAGGCAGAAAACGCAGCAAACATTTGGTGAGCTACGTGCTAAGCAAACGGCCTCGAATGACTGTTGCTAACCACGTAGCTCTCGTGTACGGCGGGCACAAGAGTGAAACTGTTTCTTCTTTTCTTCCAAATCCATGAGAACATATTAATAATTTTGCGTAGCTATTTTGGATTCGAATAAAGCAGCCCAGGTTTTGTGGATGATAGGTTGAGGCATCTGAACTTGTAAGCAGGAGGTAGTGGGTTCGAGTCGCAAACCTTAATTTTTTTTCTCACCAGCTCTCAAAAAGCTCTGGCTTTAAAATACTTGTAAGTCGCATCAGTGATGGGCAAAGTTCCAATATTAACAAAGAATATTGATAATTTTATGCTTACCAATACCTTTAGCATCAGTCTGGTTGCACGTTACAGTCACATGGGCCTAGTGGCAAGGGATGTCAGTCTGTACCTGATTCCTTGAGATGAAATCTCTCGACTTTGCTTCTTGACTTTTCTTGTCGATTCCTTAAAGACGCTTCTGGGTTTTTCCCCTCGTTTTTCATTCATGCATTCTCACCTGTAAAGTGCATGGAGTAAATGAATTGATAATGAAAAGCCTTGGAAGTTGGGGTGGTTTGGATCATTAGTTACTCAAACCCCTCAAAAATGCCATTTTAGGGTGTTAATGTTTTTACCACATCTCAGCCTTTTTGACACATTAGAATTTCATAGTATTTTTTTTTGCAGTATGTCAATCTCCATAACCAGCACACCACCACAAACGTAATTTTTTTTTTAAACTTGCACCTACATTTACCCAAAATAGTGTACCAATAATGTTCAATGTTTACATGAAAAGGCGCGTTTTCTCAATTTCGTTTGAAAATTCGTTAGAAACATAACATGAACAAGGCAAACGATAACTAATGGTTGTTGCGTATCGCGATAACATCAGCTGCAATGTAAACAGAGACAAAATTACTTCGTTCGTGTAAATTTCTTCATTTGTGGTTTCTCGTGGTGTGACGAAGGTGAGGCGATGAATGGACTTTGCTCGAGGGTTTTTAAAGTGGTTACGAGGGAAGTGAAACTGACAGATTAAAAGTCAAAATGGAAAAGCTTTTAGTCATTGGATGCATGGATAACACAGAGAGCCGACAAGCCATGTGCAGAAGCTTGTGTCGTTACTGAATACATGCAAGTTGCAAGCCCCGCCCCAAAATGTTTTGACCAATCATTACCGTGATGTGCAAAGTGCGCGTGCAGAAAAGACCGACATGCGCGTTCACGCGCGTTTGACGCGCGCGCCTGGAATGTTGGCGCTGTGTTGCATTGAAGAGCAGCACGTGATGGTGCCCAAGTGGGCGGGATTATTAGATCTATTGTCTGGAAAGAAATTTGTGCTTTTAAAGAAGATTCCCAACATAAAACCAAAAAAGAATTGACCTAACGTCGTATGCGAGTTAACCACGCCCCTTAGACAACCCTATGGAGTTTTTGTACACTGAGTTTTGTTTGTCTCGGATTTTGCGCGTTCCGCGTGCATTTGTTTATCATGTAATTGGACAATATTTCACAAGCTGCGTTGACGCGATTCTAACATGATTCTACCGCGATAGGTCAATCCGGTTCGTTAGTAAAAACGTCATACACGCACGCGCACCACTGATTACTAGCGCCCATTGGCTACAAACGCTCAAGCTGCGTTAACTTCCGGTTCCAATCGTGCAGAAAGTGCTGGAGGTGACGTCACACTAACGAACCGGATTGAAGCAACAAAACTTCAAAATAGAAGTGGGATATCAACTCGTCTATCTCGAAACAAAACTGTATCTCAAAAGGGGATTTGTATTCAGGTATAGTGCTGTTAAATAACTGCTTCTTTCTCTAATATCTAGGTCTAAGATTTGATAGTAAAAATTTAATTCTCCACTCGTGCTTCTATTCTGGCACGTTGCTGCAGGCTTTCCAAACAAGACATTGTCAGCTGAAATTGGACAGCTTACGGCCGACTTCACGACAATTCACATGCTTTGGTGCACACACAAAGAAAAGGTCCGGCCGGCCAAAAATAGAAACCTCTTCTTGGAGCAATATCTTCTTCAAGGAACAATTGATTCTCGATTAATGGCCGGGATGCAATTTGGGCAGCATCCGAGCAGAAATTATCGCTCAGTAATCAAATAAAGCCGATTAATATGTCTGTTTTTTCTTCTCTTCTGAGCAATTTCTTTTTCAATAACCACTTCGAGGTTGGGTTTAATGAAATTGCTGATTCTGTTACTTGAGTAAAGGGTGGATGGAGTGCAATGAAATAAGAAAATGGACTGAATCAAGAAATGAGAGATACTTCGCCTAAGTTGTCATTAAAGATAGAGGAAATTATGACTGCAATCAAAATACTCCGGTTCTCTAGTTTTTAAAACAAGAAATGGCATGCAGTCAACCATTTGAGACACGCAACTTTTTCATGGAACTATACGGAATATAATATTTATCATTTTCATTGCATCTGGACTTGGGAGTCCAAATAAATTCAATCTTTTCACGAGAAAAAAAAATCGGCACTGCTTCATGCACAGGTAATGCACATGTAGCTATTTTTGTGTAAGTCGGTGGAGAAAAGTCATACAAAATTAACTCCCTAGAGAAACTTCTTCATCAATCAAGTGGATCAGGTTGTCATGTTAATGTCGTGCACAAGACACGAGGGACTTCTTCTAACATGGATGACCTGAATTGAAACTGGGATTTCTTTCCTCCGATTTACAAAAAAAGTCTTTTCACTTCGCTTTTTTTGTGTGCCACATGCCGCGGGAATAGTTTGAAAAGCAGAAAGCGTCACCGATATATGAGATTTCTCCGTTATTATGCATGCTATGACCTTTCTGAGTCACGCTTGAAATGACATGCGGCAACTTTTACAGGAGTAGAATATTGCTGTCATTCTCGCAATAATGTAATATTACAAACATTGAGAAAATGAAATTACAATGGAACAGATGTCTGAAACTCGGGATATTTATTGATCTGATGTCGGCTTTCAATTGAAAGGAAAACATGTTTCAGAAAAACAAATGTCAAACAAGCTTGTTGCTCGAAGGACGTGTGGAGGATCTACATGACGTTCATTCTTTATTGAATATATATGTTATGAATAATATGTCTGTAATTAAAGGGCCACTAGGTCCTGAAATCCCCGAAAATTTCATGTTTTGGATTGTATACTTAGCCTATTTCAAACATCTGGTTGAAAGGAAACCAACCTTATGTCTGACCGTTCCCGAGAAAAGACGAACCCCCCCCCCCCCCCGCTTGTTCCAAACAGTCAGAGTACACAATAAACTGCTACTTTTTTTTGACGAAAGAGGTTTTAGGGTCATTGTGTTTAAATAGTGGTATTCTTTGAACAGATTGAGCAATTTCAGTATTTTTTTTCATCTAAAAGTAGCTTATGAAATTGGCTTTCCGGTCATTATTATTTTTGGTGCTACATATGTTTTTAAATATGAAATATAAATTTGGGGTTGTTTTTTTTTACTCACCCTGTATGTAGTTTCTTGGGCTTCTTAGAATAGACGTTGAAGAGGGTAAGACTTGTTTTTAGTTTTTTAAAAGCATTATATTTTATATTTTTTTATTTGGCTCAATGCGTTCTTAAAATAGATCCAGGGAAAATAGTATTGCAGTGACTTGGAGGACGCACTGACGTTTATTTTGTATTGGTCGGGGATTAAGCATATTTCCGTTGTTTCAATGTTTAAAAATATGTAGTTTCTTAAAAACTGACTCAAGCGTTCTAAAAATAGATCTTGAAAACGATATTTTTAACTTGTCAACCGCCTGTGACAATAACAAACATGAAGGGTGGAGGGATGAGTTCAACAACATTTTCACCTGCATGCGAGAAATGTCACTAGGTACTATTTATAAATTGAAGCGGCGGTATTTTGTAATGGCTTTGGGTGGGTGGTGTTATGATACTATAGCGCTGCTCGGCTATTTTTGGCAACACGCCTGCCGACTCGGTTTGCGCTTGGGGAAGGTTTATGTGAGAGCCTCGTGTTTTTGGTTTGGCTGGGCTGTCAGTTCCATCAAGCGTTAATGTATAGCTAGTCTGGAGTGCTTGTTAGGGATGGATACTGCGATGTAGTCGGATGGTTATGGGAGTACTTGAGACAGGAAAAGCCGGAGTTGCCAATAGGTTGAAGTTGATCAGTCACAATTTCGGTGAGGTATATTTTAAAACAAAATCTGATGACTGATGACACAGAAAAGTGCAGCACTTGGATTTTGTGTTCTGCTGAAAATTTCAGCTGCATAGGCCCAAACAGCTGTGGAGATTTAGGCTTCAATCGTAAATTTAGCAATAAAATCTAGCACATGAAAATGGAATGATTGAAAGCGTAAGTTGACAATTTCCACACATGCAGTAAAAATATAAATAAATAAATAAATAAACGAAAAGAGTTAAATGTGTATATTGATGAGAAATAACAAATTGTACATTTGAACCAGTCCGATAATGGCCATTTGGTGATTCAAATCAATCATTAAATGTCAGATTTCAATTTGTTCAGTGCTCGAAAGATTGTCCATACTTTCATCTTGCCATATTTGCTCAGATTGATGCCGGATGCAATTTAATGCATCCTCATTGATTCTTGTATACATGGTATATGAATATCCAACCGGCCTTTTAGCTAGAGGTGTTAGGGCAGATGTTGATTTTTTTTTCATATAAGAAACTTTGCATTAATTACATTACTGGAATCAAAGCCATACCTATCTGCGTTTACAACTTTCAATGGAGACCGATGCATCAGGCCCCGCCCACTTCGCACGTGGTCAACAACACGAGCGCCTCTCGAATACCGCGCGCACTTTCAGACGCGCGCGTCCTATGCAAGTGCACGCGCATGTCAGACATAAAAATCGGCTGTGATTGGCCGAAAGTCCCGAAACATCATGGGGCGGGGCTTAGTGGATCAGTCTGCTGTAAGCACTGTGACTGTGTCCATGCAGGCTTCAAACCATGGTCCATGAGAACAATATTACAAGCATGGTAATTAAGAAGGTTGTCAATGAGGAATGAGCAAATATTTGAGGTGTTACAAAGTCTTGAAATCACTGTCTTTTTTTCTCCACAGATGAGAAGTAGCCATCAAGATGGCAGAGGTAGCAACAAACCTAACAGATTTCACCACCACGGGGAGGACAGGGAGACGGAACGCCTTACCAGACATCTTAGATGTCGCTACGACGGTGTCGAATGAGGAACTGGTGGTCAGGCTGGACAATCTAGCTATCGGTAGGAAAAAGAATAACATTTTGGTTTTTATCTCTGAGATTCAGAATCAAGAACCGGCCCCGAATCTTCAGTATTCATTAAGTCACATTTAAAGTATTAGTGACTGACAGTGTTATAGTCAGTTTATACAACACCTGAATAGACCCCCGTCATTCTGATTGGTGGGTCATTGATCAAATTAATGTCACTCGTCCAAACGCACGGCCCAAGCCGCACCACAAAAATAGAAGTTCTATTTCACAGTAAATGTATAAGTTCCAT